ATTTGAATTTTCATTTTAGAATTGGGTTTAAAACGGGTCTTTTGACCCGTCTCAAGGTTGAAGGCAACCAGAGAACAAAAAAACACATCAACGTGTCAGGCACACGTCAGCGCCCACGTGGCGCGCATGGGACCCAGCGTCAGTGCGTGCATCAGCGCGCGCGAGTCAGACGCGCGTCAGCGCCCACGTGGCGCGCGTGGGGCCCATTTTTGGCTAAATTCTTCCCCATTTTGTGATTTTAACTCCGTTTTCAGCGACGTTTTCGCCGTTGTGCTCCGTTTTTTATTTCCTACTAATTCAAATTATTTATTTTGAGTTTGGGTCACCATAAAATCATGTTTTTTAATATTTTATATTATTAATTTTATATATTTATTGGTGGCTAATTCTCACAATTTTTCAAACAAATTTTTTCTGGGCATTTCGTATAAAATTTATTTGATGATTGATGCCATAAAATTTATATTATGTTGTTGTTATTATGTGGCATATATGTAATTGTGAGAATTTGACAATAGTGAATGTTTATGTACTCGCCTCTCGTGAGTCTAAACATGTCAAATTGTCTCGGTTCTTATGTTACGGAGCTCTCCCATAAAATTTAATATTTCCTTTTGAAAAAGGATTGGGATACACACTGCTTATATGGATGCACATGAGCTACTAGAAAATATTTTTATTTAAATATTTGTTTATTGTAATAATTTTCATATATTTTCTAGGTAGTTTTAATTCTCACTATTTAGAGACCTAAAATTTTGGGGCATGTTTGTTATTCCATATTTTATGGTCATATTTTATTTGTTCTCCCACATAATTTGATATTTTGATAAATAAAATTTAGACATATAATATGGATGCTTGTTCAAATTTTGAAATGCCCATTTTGTATTCAACATTTTAATGCCTAATTATTTATATAGGCATACAAGGTCTCTTTTGTGTTAAAGTGGGAATGAAAATTTTAATTAGAAGCTCATGTGGTATTATAAAGCTTAAGCTATAAGTTTATCCATAATTTATTTATTTTTGCTATCATTATTATTTGGTATCTTGTTTTATGTGAGTATCATGTATTTTGATTATGCTATCCAAGTGGGAGAAAATTAAAAATATTTTTTTTGTGGATTAGCATAATCACTAACTCACATACTATTATCAAATAATAAATTGTGGGATTATATGGATAAACATAATTTGTTGATTATGTTCTAAAGTCCATACGGGTAATGGAATTATTCTATCGATAGTTTTATTGCTTGGTAGGAGACTTGAGTCTTGTTGGAGCTTAAGCTAGTTGTCTTTATCCATATATTTTGGTTACATATTATTATTTGACATTTTGTATTATATGAGTATCATGTTTTTGATTATGCAGTCCAAGTGGGAGAATACTGTGAATGATTATATATGGACTTGCATAATCACTAACTCATATTATGGTCAAATAATATATTAGAGTGTTAAAAATAAAGGTATGTATTTACCATATTGCTAAGATCCATACGGACAATTAAATTATCCTATCGATAATTAATTGTTTGGTAGGATGCTTAGACCGGTGAAGGAGGTTTGTTGGATGTCATGAATCGCATAATCTTTACCACCCTATCGGTGGTGGATTGATGCATTTGGTTGTGATGTTTGATGAATTGTCCTTATCTGCGAAAGAGTTCTATTCTTGCTCAACGAACTCTAGCACACAATGATCATATTGGCTTGGATCATTGGGAAGGCTAAGTAAAGGGCAAATTACATGATCTTATTTTACATGCCTATTGTTGGTTGCCCCTGTTGTTTTCTTTAGCCTTGAGCAATCCTTGCATCTCCGCTATCTTGACACTAAATGGGACAAGCCATTATATATGGTATGAATCTCTTTATGAATCTATTAATGATGAAATGGACATAGCCTTGAGAGTGGATGTGTTTCCTAGCTCCACTAATGTGTTGAGAAACTCTATGATGAGTGAGAGTGTATGGATAACACCGAGGTAGTAATGTCTCAATTTTAGGATGAGACATTCACTAAAATTAGCTTTATGGAGAACATTGTTGATAAATTCATATGTGTAAGGTCAGTGGGAGCAGTTGCATATTTCTATTTTTTATGTCGGTGACAACTTGCTCGCGCCTAATGATTCTAACCTACTGGTTAAGATGAATAACATGTCGCCTGTCACTTTGGTTTGAGAATCTTGAAAAAGCCTCTTATGTTCTAGGCATGTAGATTCTCCGTGACAAAGATAAGTGCATTTTTTGGTCGTCTTAGAGAACCTATATTGTTCTTGTTTCGAACAGGTTCAGTATGCATTCTTGTTCTCCTAGTAAGCATTGTTAGTTAAAGTGACAAACTCTCAAAGGTGTAATGTCCTTATGGTGAAGTAAGAGAGATCAGATGAAATTGTCCCTTATGCTTACGTATTTAGCAGCCTGATGTATGCTCAAGTATACGCACGTCTCATTATTGTGTTTGTTGTTGACATGCAGATTCGGTACTCTAGTAATTGTTGTTATTATTACTGAATTAACTGTGAATGAAGTACCAGATAATTGTGTATCGGTAAACCAACACTTTTGTTGTGGTTGGATCTCGTGATGCCGATTATGCAGGCTGCATAAATGATAAAAGGAGGAGCTACTTTGTTGAAAAGTGTCAAATAGACACTTGTGGCGTCCTTGACTATGATGCAGAGTATGTGTCGTATCGTGAGGCTATTTGTGTGATGTAATTGTGGAACCTTATTTCAACATTAGGAGTGGTTCACTCCATTTCTAGACCGGCTGAAATTGTGTTGTGAAGTTCCATAATAGTATATTTCTCTTAGAACACCAGAGTATTGTCCGCTCAATGGAACACCAGGAGCATTTTGTAAAGAGAAATTGTAAGAGGCCTCATTATTATTGCAAACACGCCTATAAACAACATGTTGGCAGTTCCACGAAAGGCTTACCTATTAGGTGTTTTAAGAACACGCATCCCACTCGGGACTGTAAGGAGCCTGTAGTTGTATTGAGTTAGTGGGACTTTACTGTCATTTGTACGTGACATGTTGTTATCGATAAGGATTGCTTATGCCTCGAATAATACATGCGTATTTATGGATCTGTCACTTTATGCGTGATGTTGTGTTGACACACTTATTAATTGTCAAAGTGACAAATTGAAAAGAGACATCTGGTTGTTAGTCTCTATCATTGTTTTTTATCCATATATTAAAGTTGTTATCATGCTTTGATGAATGTCTAGCGCCTGATTATGTATAGTGATTGTATCCTATCGATACGTTAGTATGCATGATTGTTTTGGACTTGTGTTTATTATGTGAGATTCTTAGTTGATGCTTATGTTATGATGAGTGAATGTTGGTTTTATGATTATGTCGTCCAAGTGGGAGTCTGTTGGAATATTTTTATATGGATTTCCATAATCATAATAATTCACTCTGTAATTAATTAAAGCATTCTATGGATAACTGTGTTAATGTGAATTAACACATGTATGTATGTTAAATATCGGTCCATTATAGGATGGACACTTGTTTTATTAACTCGTTTGAGGCATTTAAACTCCTTCTATCTCATAATATTTAGTCAGCCTATTAGGCCAAATATCCTCTCCGTGTGAATATTGGAAAAGGCCCCCTATTTGGTTTATATAGGCAGCCACCTTTTGTTTTTAATGGGGCGTGCTCGTGGGGTGTGTGTAGGGGGTTTTAGGCCTGTGGCCGAATGAACACAAAGAGGGAGAGACAGGGAGGAGTTCATGCCCCTCTTGCTTCTTCTTCTTCTTTTTGCAGCTCCTCCACCCACTCGGACCAGTCATCGGTGGATTCTGGCGACCGTGAACGACGTGCTTCCGCTGCCCAATGGAATAGAGGTATGCCTAAATCCCAAATAAGAAATTTTTTTTTTTTCTAAATGGCATTTTTGAATTTTAAGCTAGATTAGTTATTATGATCTTATTTATATCATTTTAAATCTAGCATATATATATATATACTTTGACCAGACTTGAATTTTTACGACGCGAACAATATCTCACCAAACTTTAGGTGTTGTCCAAACCATATTCTTACCATAATAAAAATGAATTGATTGATGATTAGATGACAGGAATTCATACATGATAAGGTGACAGATATTTTGTAGTAGTGTCATTTGTCTTTCAGCATTATAAGATATTGGATTCGATTTCTGATGCCACTGCCATAAAATAATAATTGCAGAGTGGTCACTTATGACCAACAGAATCTTTGAAACTCCCTTGAGGCAGGAGGTTGAAGAAGCCTTCTCCGGTCTGAAAAAAGAAAAAGCTGTTTCTTGGAGAAGAGAGTAGTAATATCACTTTTTTTTTTTTTTGTTAAAGAGAAGGGATAAACTGGATTTTACAGAGATAGGTTTTGATTGATTGACAGTTCTTATTACATGGTCCTACAACTGAAGAAACAAAACTTATTGGGAATCCTCAAGCACAGTACATGTTTCAGGTCTTTCCTCTGTGGTGAGAGAATCTACTTCTGATCAAGGTTGGGGAATTGGAAAGTGCACTTGAGAAGGACATGATAAAGGTTGCTTAGGCCCATTTCCAGGCCTATCTAACCAACCTTGTACTATTCCTTGCAACTCTATACATTTGCGGTTGAAAGGGTCATTTCATTTGGGTTTGGTAACTAGGGATCTGAATACATGAATATATGAAGACTTCAACTACTGTATTACCTTGCATAACTTCAGGTTCTAAGAGGAATCTTGTAAATATATAAATATATAAATATATATATATATATATAACGGTCCGGTCTAGACCTTTTGAAAACATTACAAACCAGACCAAACCATTAATGAAAGTCTGGTCTGGTTACTTAGAACCGGACCCGCAGTCTAAAAACCGCAGACTGGTTCGAACCCGGTTTTGACCGGCCGAGCACAGCCCTAGAGGTAAAAATAGAAAATCACACAAGACCATGAGCAATCATTGATTAAGTGTAAATGTGGGATTAAAATTAGGTAAAAATGGAAACCATACAAGAGCAACAAGGTGAATTTTTCACCCTGATGACATTTGAGTTGAGGCTCAAGGAACACATTTTGGAGAGACTACAAGATCATTAAATCTGACACCAACTCATCTACTAAAGAAGTCAATATCTCTTTTTCAATATCTAGCCCCTCCTCAAACGCTTCATTATCAAAGTCAAGCCATCTTCCATACCAGGTGTTCATGTCCTTGTCCACAAGGTCATCCACCATAAAGTCTGCCAAGCTTTTCCAACCCGAAATCTCTTTGTACAATTCCTCTGCCAACCATTCCTTCCTCGGAGATATTCTAACCCATCTAGAGCATGTTCCAACAAACATTTTCTTGCACCATGATTCCAGGCATTCATTCACACAATCAAACAAAACCTTTCTCCCACGTTTCGAACATTCTTCTCCATCTATTTCTGTACCGTTTTCTTTGTGCTCCAGGTGAACAAAGATATTTGAGGAGATGACCTTGTTAGTATCACCCAATGCAAAATCTTCCAATGCTAATTCAGCATTACCGAGTATGCTCCTCACATATTCCAGTTCCCAGTTGCTTGGTCTATCAAGATCTTCCAAACCGAATCTTTTAGTCATTCGCTTTCTACTTGCATTCCTTGTACAACTGGAAGAGATTGAGTCAGGTGAATCTATCACGCTATATGCTGGCAGGAGTTCGTTTGCACAAGACAGACGGTTTTGAGCTTCAGCCAATGAGCATTCCTTGCTTCCTGTAGATTGAAAGTAAATATGATAAAATGCCTTGTCATATCTCTTTAATAAAATCGTACTTTTGTTTGGGCACCGGGAATAATTCTTACACTCTTACCAGGTAAAACTGAACTAAAGAAGAGTTTGGCAAAGCTAGTCTTACCCCAGTTGATAAAATGCCATTTTCACAATTTCTGAAAATGTCATCTAGTACAACCTTCTCAAACATAAGAAGGGCTATGTACTAATTGAAAGAAGTTCAATTACCAAATTTATATTCTATTTAATTTATATTTTTAATCTACACCTACTGGTTAGTTGCTTCACATAAATCCATCATAGTTCCACATAAGTAGGCTTGGTAGAAGTCCACTTCTTGCCAAATTTTCCCATCACCATTAGGGTTCTTAGCCATTTGATTAAATAAAAAACGTAAAGACACCTTTGAAACTAACACCTATATTATGCTCATCGATACTTGAAAGGAAAATAGTACGGTTTGCACAGCTTTTATTACCTGTAGAGCTTCCACTTTCAAATGCGAGTTCAAAACTTGATTCTGGACTAGCATCTTCATATTCTAATTCTTTTCCAGTTTCATAGCTGCTGCTTCCGGTAGACTCTTCCATTTCCTAAAAGCGATCAGCATGCATTGACCAGTTTAGCGAGTGCTAGGTCAAGACATTGAAACACGGGAAATGTAACAAAATAACACGGCTTCGATCATCAAAGAGCCATGCCAAAAAGAGTGCAAAGCTTATTAACTAATTAAAATACTCATCCAAAGAACTTGTCAATAAAAAAGAATTGTCTATTCATAGAGTGCTATAGCCGACTGCTAATACATGCATACATGCATGCATATATAAACATATATGTTCTAGTAGCTATGTTTTAAGCTTTAACGTATCACCTTGCCTCTGGAGGGTGGACCGATGTTTAAATAAAACAGTACGATGAACTGCTAAGGAAATGAACCAAGTCGTCTCTACAGCTCAGTAAATTTGAATGTATAATATGTGATTTAACAGGTTTCAAACCAAATTCAAACTTAGTGGCAGTCACCTATTAATAAGGCTTTGCCAGTTGCCAGAAAAGAAAACAATTTCTAAATGTGTATTTGAGCCTCGTTTTATCTACAAAAGTTATTACTTTCTCCATGTGACAGACAAACCCTTCAAGTTCCACCTTACCAGTTTCTTCCCAAAGAAATTCTTTATTTTTTTTTCCTTACTAGATGATAAAAAGTCATGAAGGGAGAATTTTGGATGCCGGAATATTAACAAAAAATACAAGAAACTAAGAAATGGACACCAACTACAGAAGAAAGGCACAAGCAAAGAAACAAACCTGCCACTGCCCGTTCATATTAACCACTGGACCATCAATGGACGGGGAATCATAACAGTATATGCTATCAGTTTTATCTCTAAGCAGACATACTTGAACCTGCTTTCCCCTTGGTGGGGTTCTTAATACATTGGAGTCTTGTGATGCAGATGCACAACGAGCAGAACTCTCTTCTCTGAAAAGGTTTGATTGGTATGACCGAACTTTACATGTTAGTTCCTGAAGCTTCTGTTCCAGAAGAGCACCTAAAGAGTCGGTACCTATTACATTGAATCCAGGAGAAGACAATTCGAAGCCATTTGAATAAAGCGGCTGATCTTTGTCACTTACGGAGTTAATCCCAAATCTCTTTTCCATTATCATGGCTTGACCTGAGGACGGGGACACGCATGTGGATTTTTTCAGGGGAGAGTTGAATGTAAATGAAATTACATCTATTCCCGGCTTTCTGTTATCTGGGCTCATACCAGTGCAAGAATCTATAGATATATTACATTTTATAGACCTTTGCCCTTCACTAATCTGTATACTACTACCACCTGCAGCAGTTTCTTCCATACGAACACCCTGACAAACAGAATGTTTCTTCCGAGAGACATTCTTAACCGTTGTCTCTCTTTGACTAGCAGTTGACACAGAGCCCGCCTTCTTTGATCTGGTTTTGAAGTTTGCAACAACCTTATTTACAGTCTTGCTTGGCTCAGCAGAGCCACTAGAGGACCTAGTTCTTCTGGCTGGATGATTGGAAACCAGATTTTGTCCAGTCTTGTCCATATTAGATACACAGTTCTGCTTCTGGTTATTCTGCCTTAACACATTGTTACTGCTCTCTGGAGAAGTTCTTTTCTGCTCTGATCTTTGCAAGTTAGGCTCGCGCTTTGGTATGTAGTTTGACTTCACCTCTTTCTGGTTCATAAAGTTCCTATTACGACCAGGAATTGAGCCTTCTCTTCTCTGAACATTGGTCTTTGCTTGTACAGCAAGTGACACTGATGAAGCCTTGCCTCCGACATTGTTAAAATTCCATTTCCCAGAATTGATAGGAGCCTGAGTTACTAACACATAACCATTAGGGGTCTTGCTACTGTCCTGTCCTCCAGTACGTTTTAAAGCATTCGCTTCCTTGGATTTTTCAGGTCCAGTTGCTTTATTTGCAGCCTCTATCTTCTCTTTCAAATCTCTAATTCTCAAGGGAACCGAAGAAGGCCCTATGCTTGACACTTTACTCTTGGAGGATGCCCTAGGACTCGCCTCAATTATCTTTGCAGCAGCCTCCATGATATAAGTCTGATTTTTTGTTGGAACAAACCCAGGATTTTTTATACGTGACAATAGCTTATGGTGAGTGATTGGAATTGATTTAGCCAATTTAGGAGGTAGAACTTCGGTCTGAAATCTCTCAATTGGCCGGTTCTGCTGCCTCTGGGACCTAGATTCTACTTGATTCCTAGAAAATGTGTTGAGTCTGTTGGGCACATTTACACAATCCCTCGTATAAAAATCACTCCACAAACCACTCTTGTCATGATGAGAAGCTCTAAATGAGCACGAGTCAGAAAGTGGGGCTGAACTAGAAGAGGGCTCTGCAACATTCGAAGTTGGCAATGAATCTAAACCCATCAGTCTAGCAACTACACCTGGGGCTCTAGCCCCACTTCCATCTTCACTGGTTACACAGGAAGCAGAATTCCAGTCACTGCCCCCTTTTTTACTCGAACTTGCTTCGTTCTCATCCGCTTCCACCTGGAAGTACACCATGAGTATAAAACCACACAAGAAAAGAAAAACCATCAAGAAAACTAAAGATAAGACATAATGAGAGGAAAATAAACGCTTTATTTACCGCATTGTAGACGGCAGTCCTAGAACAATTCTCCTCATCTTCTTTTCCTTGCTTTGATCCTTGAGGATACAAAATAAGGGGAAATTTTAGAATGTGTAATCAAACAATGTATCAACTAAGAAGCACCTCATTTTAAGGACACAGATAATACCAGGCAACTCTTCTGAATTGTTAGCAAAAAGCTTCTTCCGAGACTTCCCATTCCAATCAAACAAATGAAGAAACCCTCCTTTTGAACGTTTCTTCTCAGCCTCCATACTTTATTATTACAAACCTAATACAATTTTGAATTTACAAGTTAAAAATAACGACCAACAAAAAGAGAAAAAAGAAAAAAAAAAACCATATCCAAATTCTCGTTACCGCATTTATGTAAGATACTGTTATGCTTGAATTACAAAGGTACAAAGACATTGAAAATCAGACCATATATCTTTATTATCAATTTTTTTTCCTTTTGGGCTGAATAAATAGCTGTATATTAAAAATTAGCTAGCCCATAGGATTCGAATTATGCAAACAAAAAAAAAAAGGCATTTAATAGTTAATACTACTTACACTGCTCATTTGCATAGGTTTAGACATAAAGACACCAACTTTTAAAGCCTTAAGAGAGAGAGAGAGAACTGCAAAATCATTCAATTTGAAACCCACTAAAAATGGAGAAATGGAATAAACTTACCTGGACTCATTTCAACAAAAATCTCTCATCAATAAAACCAATTTTCCAGAATCCAAAGGTCATTCCTTTTCTTTTGTCAGTTGTAGAAGTAGCAATTTCTTCAAAAACCCAACTTGGTAAAATCAGCAAGAAAAAGATGAAGAAACACAAACAAGTAACTTCCTTCAAATGGGCACTCTTCAATCAACCCAACCGTACACTTTGCCGCCAGGAAACCCTCATTCCTCAGTTTCCCACAAACCAATTTCTCTCCTTTTTCCCCTTTCGTGGAGTTACTTCCTAAACCAAACACAATGACAATGTAATAATTGAGATCTGAATTCAAAAGTCGAAAAAAAAAAAAAAAAGAAAGAAAAGAGCTCGAAGAATAAATGCGCATTGCCCAAATACAGCAGAGAAGAAAGCAAGAGAGAGAAAACTCAAAACTAGGAATTAAAACAATGGAGCCACACCAGTGGTCAAATGGGGTTTATTTGAAAGAGTTTTTTTTTTTTTTTTTTTTTTTGTGGGCACACATTTGAAAGAGTTTTTTTTTTTTTTTTTTTTTTTTTGAGGGCAATCAAAAGGGTCTGTTTCTGAACAGTAATAAAATCCTTCGAGGCAGATGAAACGTCTCTCTCTCTCTCTCTCTCTCTCTCAAACAACTTCACTGCCAAGCCATTAAGTACTACCAGCCCTTTTGCTGTCCTGCCACGTGGGCAGTGAATATGGATTCTGGGCCCACCATATGGTTTTTCCTTACCTTCGAAACTGTTTTTTCAACCTTTTTCAAAGTTTTCTATCAAAAAACTTTTTTTAAAATGTTATACTTGGGAACCTTCCTGTTTTTAATAATTTAAAGCCCCATTGAATTTTATTAATTTAAATAAAAAAATTTAAAGTGTGTGATTTAAATTATAGTTTGAATTGATATTTATATGTGTAATTAAAATTTTAATTTAAATAAGAAATAAAATTTAAATTTGTGTTTGGTAGGTGTGAAAAATATAAAGAGTTGGTACTTTTTACTGTTTAAAAATAGTTTAAACGGTTCAATTCAAAGAGGGAGCCAAATTTTAAGTTGAGCCATTTAACTCAGCTCAAGTCGAGAATATAATTCAAACTAGATGCTTACTAAACATCAGTTTAAACAGTACTCACTGTTCAAACTAAGAGGGCGTTTGTTTTCTATATTCGTCCCTGATTTTGAATCATGATTCATGGTTCTCTACAGTGTTTTCTCTCACAAAAAATACACGTAAAATGAGAATAATTCTGAATCATAATTCTGAATACAAAACCAAACGTCCTCTAAATTAAGTTAAATTGAATTGAACCAGTAAAACAAACATTCACAGATACTTTCAAAGTTTAAATTACCCTCAAATCAAATCAAATCTATTGATTTATGATTTGATTTATGGGAGCTTATATGGGGATAAAGAAAGTAAAATATTGTTAGTTTTTTTTTTAATTTTCACCGTTAAATTTTATATTAAAAATTATCTATTATATATATATTTTTTAATTTAATGTAATTTTAATTTAATTTATCAGTAAAATACTAATAGTGTCCAATCATAAAAATTCCCTTAATTTACATATTAGAATATCAATTTTTAAGAAGTCAACATGTGTACTAAGACATATTTAGTTCGTTGATTCGCGTTTTTAATTTAAATTGAAATACAAATTTATGTGAGAGTTTTTTACTGTAGTAAAAAAAGTTAGATGTGACTGTTTCTGAGAGCTTTTTATTATAGCAAAACTCGAATTCTAAACTCAAATCAGTGAATGAACAAGACCTAAAATCTCTTGCTTGCAACTCAACTTTTTGTTTCTTTTGTGTTATTCTTTTTCTTTTTTTTTTTTTTTTTTTGTTCCTTTCTCTATTGACTGTTATGTATTTTACGTGAATAAAAAAAATAGTTTACCCATTACAAGATTTATATATTTTAAGATAAAAAAGGATTATTATTTTCATTTTAGGTGCATTTAGAATTAATTTTAAAATGATTTTGTTTTTAATGAAAAGTAAAAATGAGATTGTTTTGAAAATCATTCTGAGACCGATTCTAAAATTGTGTTTGGTTACTTTTTTAAGGGATTGTTTTGAGTATAATAAAAAAGTAAAATCGTGTTTATTAATTAATATATTATAATATTGTTGTAAGTACTAAAAAATGAAAATAGAAAAGTGAAAATAACTTTCAACCGTTTTCTAATTCTTTCACAAAAACCATTCACACTATTTTCGTTTTCAAAACATTTGCTAAGTAAATGTCGTTTCGTTTTCATTTTCATTTTTTGCTTCTCAAAATACGTGAAAACTGTTTTCAAAAACAGTTCCAAACACGCACTCTATTTTACATCTTATTCGCATATGGCCAATAAAATTAAAAGAACCCAATCCAATTCTATTAAAAAAAAGTGAGTTTAATTTCACTCATACCACCACAAATTCAATGCGGCTTTGTTTGTTGACCGGACATGCAACTAAAAATGAGGCTATAATTACATTTTGAATGCAATGTTATAATTGATGTGTCAATTGCAAATTTAACATTTGAGTATAAAAAATACTATCCAATAAAATGCTATTTTTTGTGTCAAATTTCTCATATAACATATGAAAAATTTGGTGGTAAATTTCATAACAAGTATAACATATGAGAAATCTGATATTTAATCATTATTGGTTGAAATGTTTATTTTTTCATGTAATTATTGTAACTTTTGCATTTCTTAATTATTTTAAAAATAAAAATTTACTTTTATAATTTTTTAATGATTATGAGAAAAAATAAATTTAGTATTTCAAAAAATATTATGCATTTTTTTAGAGATGGACAAAAATATTGAACCTTTAACATATCTTAATAAAAGATGAAAGATATCCTAAACTGTAAAACCCAAAATTTGAAATGGGGTTAATTTGTAATTTTTAAAGACTTAAGTGTGAAAATTTTAAAAATCTGAGCCAAAATGTAATTTTTAAGAAATGTACGGATCAGAAACGGATAATTGGACACTCAGTGAGTCCAAACTAGTATTAATGCCACTTGGGCGTGTTCCACCTCATCAGAAAAATTCAAACACAAAAACCCACTTTCTCTCTCCTTCCACGCGTACGGCCGTACACATCCAAGGAAGATTCCGGCGTCCGTTTTTGACACCTCCCGGCTCGTTGGAAAGCTCTCGTCGAGCTGAGTCTGGATTGGTGTCTTGCGGCCGCCAACTCCGCCGGACGCCGCCACACTCGCCGGTCAAAGTTCCAAA